CCGGAGAATATAATTTTTTTGATACATGCATTAAGTTTTTTAGGGATTAATTAATTTTAAGATCCTAAAGACCGGCCCAAACTCTAGTACGGGAATTGAACTTTAACTCTAAGAAGTTGTCGGTGGGAGTCGAACCAGTGGAACCACCAGGCCACCTTACTATTGCATTGCTGATTTTAGGTCAAGTGATCGATCACTTCAGCTAGCACAGCCTGTCCCTGGGGAATATAAATTGGTCAGGAGAAAGTGGAGTTCAATCTTTTTGACTTTTGTTATATTGGTGCAGTAGTTTCTGCTAATCTGCTTATTACGTCTGTTCATAGTCCCCGCCAGAACTTGAGTTCCATGTGAAGTATACATGCGTGGTCTCCTCCCATATCCCCTGGCATGCAATTCAAGAATGCATAAAACAAAATTAAAGAGACTATGATCTATATATACTATCTCTTGGGTTCTGGACCCGACCCCAATGTACTAGGATAAGCTATCCTGGATCGAAGAACGGCAAGGCATGACAATAATAAATGGAGAAAAGGCCCGCATGGGCAGCTCAACTGGTAATAGATGTGAAGTTTAGAAAGAATGACCATGGATCGAGTCTCACTAGCAGCAGTGTAGGAGCAATCTCTCAAAGTGAGGGGGCTCTTTGTGCGCAATAAGCAAAGGTTTAGCTTCTGTGTTTCATGTTTAGTTGAGTTATCATTATTTACATCCTTCCAGATGCTCTGTCCGGTTCGGGTTTGGAGAAAATTATTAAATGATTGTTGCATTTAATATTTTTTTTGGTAAAGACTCTTTTTCTTGCCCCCTCCGCTTATGTCTTGCAGACTAGAGGAGGAGGTAAATGCCAGATGTGATTTAATTGACATACAAATTTTCAAATACTAGCTTGTAGAGATGTACAATGTTATCTTTAACAAAACAAAGTTTATAAATTTATATTGAATTAAATAGTTGTGGTGACAATCTCTCTTATTTCAATTCATATATAATTTCATTGGAAGAATGAAAAAGAAAAAAACAATGAGTACTTCAATTCCCTTCTTTTCGATCGGGTCAATTATTGCGTGTTAAGTCAGTAGGAAAACTTTTTATGTCACTAATGCACTGCAACATTGAGACTTTTTTTAGTTCACTGAAAAGCTAGGCAAAACATGTCATCTGATCCCTACAACTCAGGTGGTAAATTATAGATAACAAATGCTATATAGACTCTCATTTCTTACTCCAATTTTTACTTTCATTCACAAATCTTTGATGTAGATATTTTTCTGAGATTCATATGATTAAAATAAATCTTTAATTGTCACATCATAGAGTAAAAGTGGAAAAGTAAAATTTGAGATATACATGTAGCAGAACTCATTATAGATAAAGATGAAAGATTAATATCTGATACTCACCGGAGATAATACACCTACTATGATGGACTCATTGTGAGAATCAAATATAGATCCTCAGCTCCATATTAAGAATTCGTTGAATCACAATGATTGATTTATCCATCTATTATCCTATCTGGTCAAGGTGTGGGAACTCTTAGCCCAATAAATTTACCTGGCCTTTTGTAAGCAAGTAACGTAATTACAGCATGAAGTGACTCTTCCAAGTGGGAGGTCATGAGTTTGAGCCTCAGTGGAGACGGTATTGACTTATTGGGCTTCAGTAGATTAAAAAAGTATATATATATATAATATATACATGTAACCGGATCAATAGTACTCAAAAAAAGAAGGTAATTACAGCATTGTACTAAAAACAAAAAGAAGGTAATTATAGCATTGAGACTTTAATTTCAAATGAATGCATGTAAAATAGTAAATATACTTATGTAGATACATATATAATGGCTTTGTTTAGTAACACAGTTAGCTTATCAATCAATTTTAACTTATTTGATCACTATTAGCTATTTGACTTGGTTAAACAATTAATATGAGTGTTTGATTAATTAGTTTTTTTTGTAATAGTTTATTGCTCTAAAATTGTAAATTTAAAAAGCTGTTCAAAATCGTTTTTTTATCAACTTTATGAGAAAGTCATTTTACATATAATCAGCCATTACTAACATTTACAATCAGCTAATGTTATTACCTAGTCAAACTCACTAACCGAATCAGTTAATGAGTATGAGACTATCAGCTAACAAAATGTTTCATTTTGATAGAACTATTGCATTAGTTGAGGAAGGATGCGATTTCTCAAAAGATGGAAAAAGAGGAGTTAAAATAGTAACCTCATATTGCAAGTGGGTTCTCTATTTCCTCTTCTGATGAAAAGCCAAGGAGGTGAAGTAATGGTGGCATCCAATTCAAAATCGTTAAGACATGGCCTGGCCTTGCTTCCAAGTGGCAGGCGCTGGTGGATTTTGGCATGGCCAACCCACCGCCCTCCACTGTTGAATTATCCATCTGTCACGCCGCACATATAACAATGCCACCAAAGTCCAAATGTCCAATCAACAAATACAATACTAAAAAACAAGAAAAAAATGCATTTGAAATATTGGGGAAAGAGCCAGACTTTGTGGCCTTCTGGTAAGTACCTTGTCTTTCCATTTTTAGACTTTGTGACATTGAATTTCAACTTGTGGCACAGATACTATAGAGCTTTGTGTCCTTCATCATTTTGGGACAAATTAAATGAATGAAGAACTGGACTAGGCCGGCCGGGTACGTGCTCATTTATCAATTCATTTCATATATGGTTAACTAATTAATTAGCCTAAGCTAATTATAATGTGTGAATCATATGTTCTTGATTTAAGGTGTTTCATTTTTGTTCTTATCTTCCCACACAATGTAAATGGAAGTTTGAAAAATGATGGATTATATTTATCCGCAACCATGACAAAGTCTGTGAAAAAAAAAATATAAATTAATGATTGATACTCAAATTAAACTAAAAAAAAAAAGTTAATCTCAAAAGATTAATTCAATATAAGTTAAAGAACTTGGAGTTTAAATATAAGGTCAGTCATATCACAAAACGTAGTACAAGTAGGTAAAGGTATCATCATATTAGTGCATGATATATACATATATAAATTACTAAATTGCAATCAACATTAATATGCTATAATTAACCGCACCAATTAACAAGATTAGTGAGGGGTCATATATTGTGGTGTTAATAAGAGTCTATCTCACTAATATTTTTTTATTTTCAAACCCAAACAACTTCTTTCATCAAAACAACTTAAAAATACAACTGGGTGGAATAATATCCCACACACCAAAGACAGATGATGAAACAGTCACCCGCGCTAGCACGTGATGAGCAACCTGGTTCGCTGACCTTCGGACATGGTTGACAACAATGTCACCAATGTCCCTAGCAATAGCACAACATTGCTTCAGAATTAAACCAACATATGACAAATCTAGAGACAGAGAATTATAGTTGGTGCAGAAATTTAGACAGTCTTACTCAATAGTTACATGTGACAAATTGCGATTCTTCAACCAAGCAAGTGCTTCCTTGACTGCCATTGTCTCAGCCACATAAGGATCCCGCTCGCACTGCAACAGCCCTCCATAATATTTAATTAATTAATAATGTGGCATATATATGAACATGAAGATGGTGATGGGTTTCTTGAATGGGAATTGAGTAGAAAGCTTTTATAGCCATCACTTCACAGCAAGTGCTGGAAAAGGAATTAAAGGATGGGATTGACCTAGCTAATGCCGTGGAGTTATAGAGTAAGAAGCAGACATGTATATCAGATAACATCCTTTTTATCACATGCACATATATTATTGTTTGTATATATGTTTGGTTCAAAGGGATTATTCAAGGTTTCAAGTATCTATGTATATATGCTCCATCGTATTCGTGGAATTCAATTCGATCCACGAAATAATGACATGCACTCACATGATTTGGATGTTTTTTTCTAAGCTGAGCCATTTACGTGCCGCAGGAATGCAATAATAATAATAATAATAATAATAATAATAATAATAATAATATATCTGCTTATTGTCCCGAGCATGATTTGGTTTAGATAATTAAAGAATATGATGTTCTGTCCCAATTAAAAATTTAAATTCTGATTCGTATACTATGCCTAACATGGATAGGTTGCTTGCCTGCTCGATGCCTCAATCTATCTCATGATTTACCGTAGTGGAATATGAAAAATATCAGAGTAAATAATTAAATATTTTATAAAAGATTTGCTCTAATAAAACATACGTAGTCGTAATAAATTTTGAATCTCAAATTAAAAAACCCCTTACCGCTCTTGCCTTAAAGATATGTACCTGGAGGGGTAAATCACAAATATGCATCAATTGGCCTATATGCCCGAAATGCTTGTTATAAGTTCTGTATTTTGTTGTGGATATTTAGCCCTTTTAAATCAAATTAATTAGGAGTTCCTATACATTAACTAATTGCATTTGGCCTCGTAATTTGGCTGTTACATTGTTGATAAAGAGATCGTAGTGTAATAATGATTTAATTCCACCTCATCGTACAAGTAACCGTTGTTTATTCAATATTATATATTTTGATCTTTTAAAAAAAAAAAACAAATTAATAACTTTCTCAATTTTTTTTTTTTAAATACTACTAACTCTATGTTGACTAATAACTTTCTAATAATTTAAGTGGGGGAAGTTTAAATCTCCTTAACAACACCTGAACTTTTAAACCGGCTTTTCATAGTTGATCATAGCCAGGTATTTTTTTTTATTTTTTTATTTTTATTTTATGTATGCTTTAGAAAACATTTTTTTTTAGTCTTATAAGAGAAAATATTTGTTGATGCATTATATTGTACACTTTATTGCTTTGGCATGGCTAGGTTACTCTTCTATAAATAAGCAAGAAGGCAACTACCATACCCCAATTCAATCTCATCTTATCCATATATTGTTTCTTTCCTAGTTTTCTCAGAGTAGTGTTGGGTGGTCTTGTCCTTTTGGTTTCAACATACATAAATTTCTTTGAACATCCATATTTTTGTATAGACTAGGTTGAGTGGAAATATAATGTTGGCCAAAAAGGCAACAGACAACTCACACAGCCAAGAGTCTTCCTACTTTATGGGGTGGCAAGAATATGAGAAGAATCCTTATGATGCTATAGATAATCCATCTGGGATTATTCAAATGGGACTTGCTGAGAATCAAGTGAGAATATTCTGCCCCTTTTTTGGCATTTTATATATGCATCATATCTTTTACATTCCAATATGTTCTATTATTGTTTCTTTCCTGCCCATGTTTTCCCATACTTATAACCTTAGTTTCTTCTATACACAATTATGTCTTGCATGCATTTGTCTTTTATTCCGCTCTGAGAAAACACTGAAATACCTATGAATTTCATTTATTTACATATGAAAATTTGTTAATAAATTAAATATCTACGGATTTTATTGTTTTACATAGGAAGTAAATTTAATTTTTTCTTGTGCTGTTTGTAAACTAGAAAAGATTGTTAATATATGAAAAAATTTCAAGGTCATTTCATGCATGTCTCAGGTGTCTCTTACCAAAAAAAAAAATATGAAAAAGTTAAAAGTATTTTATTGATTTAACCACATCACGAGATTAAAACATATATGATTTGCTAATTTTCTCATGCATCATTATCTCACCTCCTACCATTTCTTGCATATATGGTTTGCTAATTTTCTCCTTTCTGATTTTTTTTTTTTTTTTTTTTTTTTCATGTGAACAGCTCTGCTTTGATCTTCTTGAGCAGTGGCTAACAAGAAACAAAGATGCAATCCAGTTGAGGAGGAAAGATGGAGAATCAATTTTCAAAGAATTAGCTCTTTTCCAAGATTATCATGGATTGCCATCTCTCAAGAACGTATGTCCTTATTTTCTTCTTTAAAAAAAAATTCTGAATTTTTATTTATTTATTTTCTGGCTGTGTTAGTTCTCTCTCACACACACACACACACACATATATATATATATATATATATATATATATATATATATATATATAAAATTTCATATATGCCAAACATCTTGTACTCAGATGGCACCTCTGTGGCTCTCCTCGAGGGAAGGTCACATGATCGAATTCAGGTGGTGCAATAATTGAGAAAGTATAAAACAGATACTACCTTGTAATAGGGTAATAGTATCCAAAAATATATATATAATTTCATATATAGTAGGCAATTAATACAAAAACAGTTTCATCATATATAATGTATATCGATCGGCACAATAATTACGTTAGTGGGGGATGTATGATTTTGGATATTTAGAGAAGATATTAACTTATCATTAAGCTAAACTAAATTAAACCGTCTTCTTTAATTCCTTTTTAAAAACCCACGGAATAAGGGTCAAATAGGCCATCGAACCGCACACAATAATGCAATTAGGCCATTGAACCTAAAAAAACAACAATTGAGTCCCTAAACTAACCATTTTCATGCAATTAAGCCAATTTACAGATTTTGCAAGTTAGTAACAGGTCACCCAAATTTTAAAATATATTTTTTTAATTATTATTTAAAAATAATAATTTAAAATTAAAAATTATATATATATATAAAAAGTTTAATCGTTTCTTCGTCTCCATGGCCGGAGACGAAGAAGGTTCTTCGTCTCCGGCGGCGAAGAAACGTTTTTTTTTTTTAATTTTAATTTATTATTTTAAAATAATAATTTTTAAAAAAATATTTTAAATTTTTTGGGTGACTTGTTACTAACCTACAAAACCTGTAAATTAGACTAATTGAATGAAATTTGTTAGTTTAGTGGCCTAATTATTATTTTTTAAGGTTCAGTGGCCTAATTGTTACTCTCTCTGTCCCATTTTGCATGTCTTACTTTCCTTTTTTGTTTGTCCCAAAATGTTGTCCTCTTTCCAAAATTGAACATCACCATCATTCTACTTTTTCCCAAATTACCCTTATGCCTTTTGCTTTTTATTTTCAAAAGTGAAAAGGTGAAGGGCATAATTGGAAACTACATAACATTTACTTTAATTCCTTAAAAAGCGTGCAAAAAGCAAATGAGACAACCAATTCGGGACGGAGGGAGTATTTTTTAAGGTTCAGTGGCCTAATTGCATTATTGTGTACAGTTCAATGACCTATTTGACCATTATTCCAAAACCCACTTAAGGTAAAATCGATTTTTATTGATAAGTAAATGCATTATATTAATTAGTAGTTATATGATTGAGTTGACATTTAAAATATTCTATTTAAAATAAGATATCATCCTATGCGTTTTTTAAAAGAAAAATAAGAGAAATTTTATTAAATGGCGGAATCAACCTTTACAATGACTGATGCATAAAATATCTCATTCTATGGTTAAAAAAAATTTAAAAAAATTGTGAGATAACTCTAATTAAATTGGTCAAGTTATTGCTTAAGTATTACAATGTTTGGGGCTAAGTCGCCCCTCTAAATATTAATCGCAATGGAGATGGGACATGGCTTATGTGACCTTAGCTTATGGTCGAACAACATAGACATGTGGGTTTAGTTTTCACTCATTCTTTTTGCTGCTCTTTGCGTGTACTCAATTCCTTAGCTTAATTATTCATAGTTCTTATATATCAACTTATAGTTCAAGGAATATGATAAACATGTCTCTCGGGATAAAATTACTTTTTGATTTAGTATATTATTATATAATTAATCGATCATAATATAATGTACGTGTTACATCTGAAACTTTTGTGCAGGAATTAGCAGCATATATGTCCAAACTTAGAGGAGACAAGGTGAAATTTGATCCTAAAAAGCTAGTGCTCACAGCTGGTTCAACCTCTGCAAATGAAACCCTCATGTTTTGCCTTGCTGAACCTGGCGAAGCTTTCCTTGTCCCAACACCTTACTATCCAGGGTAATTTAATTTCCATTAACAACTAATAGCTCACGTTATGACTCTGGCCACCAAAAGATCATTACTTTCAGTTACGTTGTTCATAGCTGACGGGCTTAAACCAAGAAACTCTTAATACGTCGCTCCTATGAAAAATCAAATTTTAGAATCATTGCTGGAAATTATGGAATTTCCAACCATCTGATCTTAAATCAAGTCGAAAGCAAAAAAGTGGTCGGAAATAGCAACAAAGGTTTTTTCGAATTCTAAAAGTGGTCTTTCGACTTGATTTAAGATTACTTTCGCGTGGTCAGAAATTCCATAATTTACAACAGTTAATCTTGTAGTTATTAAGCCACCAATCCGACCAAGTGTAATATTAACCGCATGCACGATAATTATTGTAAAGAAAAGTTAATTTGTATTGAATTTACTTGCAGGTTTGATAGAGATCTTAAATGGAGAACCGGGGTAGAAATTGTGCCTATCCATTGTTACAGCTCCAACAGCTTCAGAATAACTGAGTCCGCCATGGAAGAAGCATACGAAGCAGCTCAAAAGCTTGGCCTGAAAGTCAAAGGCGTCTTCATCACCAACCCTTCAAACCCACTAGGCACAACGATGACGGCCGACGAGCTGGACACGATCGTCGCATTTGCCGTCTCCAAGAACGTCCACATCGTCAGCGACGAAGTCTATTCCGGGACGGTTTTCGATTCTCCGACGTTCATCACGAGCCTAATGTCGGCCATAACCGACAAGAACCTGGAAAACCACAGCGTCTGGAGACGCGTCCACATCGTGTCGAGCCTTTCCAAGGATTTAGGCCTGCCGGGGTTCAGAATCGGGATGATTTATTCCAACAACGAAACCGTCGTGGCGGCGGCGACCAAAATGTCGAGCTTCGGGCTCGTCTCGTCGCAGACGCAGTACTTGCTGGCGAACATCCTCGGCGACAGGAAATTCACGGAAAATTACGTCGAGGAGAGCCGGAGAAGACTGAAGAAAAGGAGAGAGACCATCGTTTCCTGGCTCGACGGTTTCGGGATTCGGTGTTTGGAGGGAAACGCGGGATTGTTTTGCTGGGTGGACATGAGGCATTTGCTGAGCTTCAACACCTTTGAAGCAGAAATGGAGATTTGGATGAAAATACTGTGTGATGTTGGGCTAAATGTCTCCCCTGGAGCGTCTTTCCATTGCAGCGAACCGGGTTGGTTCCGCGTCTGTTTCGCGAACATGTCGGAAGAAGCATTGGTTGCGGCGATGCGGCGGATTAAGGTGTTTGTGAGTTCCGTCGTCGGCGTCGGAGAAGATTGCCGGAATATTCATCCTGGGAATGAAGAGGTCACTTGTATGCAGTATTGACTGAATTTCTATCATAATTAATAATCAAATGGATGGCCTGGTTAAGTTTATTCAATTCCACCAATGTAAATATATTTATTATGAAAAATTTTATTATATGGTTTTAATTCAGAACATGTAAGCATTCATCTGTGAATTGGTAAAGTGCTTTGGGACTTGGGAGTGATCTTGATGGCAATATCCCCTGTTTCTTGTACCAAACACCGAAATTAAATAGGTCTGATTTAATCTAGAAAGTCTATTTTACAACATAGCCATGCATGTACCCAGTACAAGGCAACGATTTGAGTTTTAATTTGTTGTGGATTATGCATGTGTACATGTAATGTTAGTTAAAAATATATGTAGTTTGAATGAGAGTCTTACTTTTTTTTTTTTGAAAACAGCAAAACGAAATCATCCATTAATAAAGAGTTGAACTGTTACACAAGGAAGAACATAGAAAGCGCGGAATAAAATCGAAACACTCAATTCTCTTCTCCCTCATATAATTAAGAGCTTTTTTTGGCTAGATAATGAGCTATCATATTGTCTTTTTGGCTCACCTAACAAAAAGAGACCATAGACATTTGACCCAGCAACTCGCGAATCTCTTCAACAATCGAGCCAAACGGTGACACGTTTAATCCTCCCGTGACTGCTCTCGTCACAATCTGAGCATCTGTCCCTAACACTACTCGCCGCCATCCCCTTTCCTTTATCCAACTCAAAGCTTCCCTAGCTCCAATCGCTTCTGCCTCCCGAACCTTGTACAGACCTTCTTTGGTAGACATAACCACCCCTAGCACTGCACCTTCATGGTCCAAAACACACCACCCAAATCCCATATGGTTGTTGGCATAATCCATTGCTACATCTATTTTTATTTCCACATCTCCAGGCGACAAAGAGAGTGTGTACCGTATGAGAATCTGCCCCATTTGTAGACAAAGGTGCCACATCATACCCATTGCTTTGCTGCCAACTTCGATCTAGCATAGGTAATAGCTTGGTGTACCATACTGGGTGGATTCGATTGTTTGCTCTACCAAAGCCTGTTATTTCGTGCCTCCCAAATAGCCCAAGCTACCATCACAATTTGTTCCAGCAACTCTTTTGAATGAAGGCTCCACATCTCCTCAAGCCAATCATTAACAGAAGCAGCATAAGACAGTTTCCTATATTTGTTTCATATTATCTTAGGAAATATAAACATTCTCAATGAATGGACTCCACATAGAATTTTGAAGGAAATGTGATTCCCATGTATATATATATATATATATATATAAACGATAACCCTAAACCAAACAGTATTATATTACATTACATACCTCAATTTTAATCAGAATATAACATTCCCAGAAATCTAACATTTCCTAAAGTAATCTAACATTCTGTAAACCAAACGACCCCTTAGGAGGTGTTTGGTTTAAGTTATACAACTTAATCAAGGGAATGCGACATTTCAAAACTTACATTTCTATATTTGGTTCACGCTATCTTACTTTTCTAAGGAAATATAACATTTACCAAGGAATGCAATTAACATACCCTCCACATAGGATTTTGAAGGAAATATGATTCCCTTACAATTCTTAGGTTATCTAAGATTACCATGGATATTAACACAAATTTTCATTTTATTTCTAATTATTATAAAATATTATTTTATGGTATCTCATTAATTATATGTATTATATTTAATTATTTTTTTTTGTAATTATGTAATTTATTTTATTTTTTATTACGTCATGGTAGCTTATAAAATAATTTTGTTTCTCAAGTTCAAGATTATTTTATTTAATTATTTTAAATTAAATCATGTAATTATATATGATATAATTATCTTGTTTATTTATTTTAATTTTAAATTTTATTCACATATATGAAAATATGTTAAGGGTATTAAAGTAAATTGTTTATATATTACATAAAAGATAACTCCTAAACTTAACATGTTTATATTATATACCACAATTTTAATCAAACAAAAGAATATAACATTATCTAATATTTCTAACAATTTAATATTTCCTAAGGTAATCTAACATTCAATGAACCAAACAACACCACAACACCACAGTGCAGTAAACTACTTAGCCGAAAAATAAATGAGGTATATAAGCAATTAATTACTAGTAGTATATCTTTCAAAAAAAATTACTAATAATATATACCAAGCACCATGTACTCAGATAATCGTAGTGATTATCTCATATGAGAAGTCATGAGATCAAGCTTCAGTGGACCTCATGACTTTCCCAAGTATGGTCACCGATTGAATAGAGTTTTTCCTGTTTTGGAACTATTACTATATTCAACACTAGACCCTTCTAGAAAAGGATTAGATATTTATATTAGATTTTTTTTCTTCTTAAATTATTTTTGTAATATTCACACTTCCTATCAAAATTAAAATAAATACAAAATTTTAAGTTTTATATTCATTAGCTACTTATTAATTAATTGATTGATTCAATCATTAGATAGTAAATAAAATAATGAGATATTATAAGGGTAACTCTAATTAAGTTAGTTGATAAGTTGATTTTATATTTCAAATTTGACTTTTGTGCGGACTAAACTTATTAACCGTCTCAGTTTGAGTTCTTGTGGTAAAAAGTCAGAAAATAATTTTTAATTTTTCTTTTTAAAAAAAAAACCTATTTCATTTGAGCTAACAATTTTTGGTGTCTTAAACTCTTTTTTTTTTTTGAGTAACGAGAGAAATTGTCAATCATTACCTGATAGTGCGTACCCGTTCTGTACACAATTATTATATGAATAAGTCACCTGAATGCATAATATATCATTAAACCACTCTTGATTATCACAGATATCTTCTCAATTAATTAAGATTAGATATTCATTATTGACAAAGGACCTCTAACTACTCTTATTATCAATTGCAACTCTTCTAATTATATTTCTATCAAACGCGTTACTTCATGGAATGAGCTATATCAATTTTTATTTTTTAACTATAAAAAGTAAGCAAATTGAAGTTTTCAAAAAAAAAAAAAAAAAAAAAAAGTAAGCAAATTGAATTGTCTACGCAATAATATTTTTTGAGTACTACTAGGGCTCGAGAGTCAATATCACCTTCTATATGAAAAAATCATTTCGTGCCACTAGACCACAAAGTTATTGGTATTGTCTACGTAATATAATTCGTCAGTAATAGAGCTGTCAATGAGGGCTGGCGGAGCGGGGCCCGCCTTTTGGCGGGACGGGCTAAAAAGCCCACCAAGAATAAGGGCCTAGGTAGGGGCAGCCCGCCCCGCGGGCCCCCGCCAAAGCCCGGCTGTTTTTTTTTTTTTTTTTTTTTTTTTTTTTTATCATGTGTGATGTGTCCCTAAAATCTAAACTCTAATATGACTATGTTAATAACTTAATTGCTATCTACTTAAAACACTTATTCATAAGAAAATAACATAAATTCGTTCATCACAAGCCACAACATGACAACAATGACACCAATAGGGATAAATATAATTATTGAAAAACTGATAACCGATAACCGAACCGACCGATAACGGTTATTATATTATACATATTATATATATTAATTTTAATTATATATATATATATATATATATATATATAACTAAAAAAAAAAAAAAAAAAAAAAAAAGCGGGCTGGCGGGCTAGCCCGCCAGGCGGGGCGGGCAAAAAAGCCCGTTTTTAAAACGGGCTTCAAAAACATGAGCCCACCCCGTCCTTTTGGCGGGCGGGGAGAGAAAGCCTGGCGGACTAAGCCCATTTTGACGGCTCTAGTCAGTAACAAGCATTACATATAGGTTGAGCACAACACAATTATTGATTGCTTAACAAAAACGTCCAAGTTTTTATGTTCATAAAATAAAATAAAAATGGATGGCATATGATTGAGGAACCCATAATTCCGAGCTTGGACTAAAGTGGTTGTAATTACTTTGTAGGCTATTGCCTTACCAATTGTTTGACAAAATAAAGTAGATTTATTAACTACAATAAAAGTCAAATTATGGATGCGATCTGAACTAAATCCAAATTAATCTTGAAGTGACGACAAATTGAATACAGCGGATACCATATAAACTACAATAACTTAATTTTTTGTTTTTAGTTTTTACATTGCAACAACAAATAAATTTAGGCTATGAAGAAAAACTAAAATTTTACACCAGAATCTGTATCCCAATGACATCAAAGAAAAAAGCCACAAAGCTTGAAACTTTGGGAAAACTGATAAAAACCAATCCTAAGTCCTAACCAATCTGCAGTACTCTAGCGTGGATATAACATTGTGGTGGATAATTCATTAATGGAACCTGTTGTTCTTTGGCCTGTGGAAGATTCAGCATCCGTAATAACCCTACTACTACTTTCTGTGAAAAATCCCGGCTCTTTCGGCTCATGTAACACGTCCTCACTGTCCAACATTTTAACGATAGAAGACATGCTTGGCCGATCCTCGGGGTGTTGCTGCACACACAATAGGCCGACGTGTATTGATCTCAGCACTTGAGGCAAATGACATGGCTCTGCTAGATGCTCATCTATTAGTTCACCTGATCTTCCATCTGTGAAGAGCTTCCATGCCTGCACAATTTGTATATGATAATCTTAGCTCATAACATATATAACATGTATGCAGTTATCTGTGAATGGGATGGTAAAATTAATGCAACATTCTCACATGTCCAAGAAGGCTTTCACAGTGATCTTGATGGCGGAATCCCCTGTTTCTTTTCCCACTAATTATTTCTATTACCGAGACACCGAAACTGAATACGTCAGATTTGACTGAGAAAGCCCCGTGCACTGCATACTCTGGTGACATGTACCCGCTGCAATGCAACAATTTTAGTTTAATTTGTTACCGAGGGAGTACATATAATGTAATGTAAATTGGATTCTTACTATGTTCCGGCAACTAGGTTTGTATTTGCTCCTGTCTCATTCCCTTTAACACTTCTAGCCAAGCCAAAGTCTGATATCTTCGGGTTTAGGTCGGTATCCAGCAAGATGTTGCTGGCTTTGAGGTCTCTGTGGATTATTCTTAGATGAGAATCTTGGTGTAGATACAGTAGGCCTCGAGCAATTCCAATGATAATATTGAAACATTTAGGCCAATCAAGTAACTTCTTTTTGGTTTCATCTGCAGCCAAACCTTTTTGGTCACAAACAATATAATGCAGGAAATTATTACATTATAACAAACTATATAACCAAAGGTGAAAAGAAATGTACCAAATATGAACAAGTCCAAGCTTTTGTTAGGCATATATTCGTAAATTAACATCTTTTCGTCTCCGTGAATACAGCACCCCAAAAGCTTCACAAGATTCCGATGCTGAAGCTTCGCGATACAGATGACTTCATTCTTGAACTCGTTTATTCCTTGCGTGGAAGCCTTTGAGAGCCGCTTCACTGCAATCGCTTGTCCATCTTTCATCACCCCCTTCAAATCGCAAAACCACAAATGAGATTCTGCAGCATATACTCGATCACTCGGAAAAAAGCTACAAACTTTTACCTTGTAAACAGGTCCAAACCCGCCCTCCCCGAGCTTATTGTCGTCGGAGAAATTGTTGGTAGCTCTTGTTATTTTAGATAAGTCAAACAGGGGCAACTCCAAATCTTTTTTGAGTTTGTCATAATCCTTCTTCTTCTTCCTGTAATATAACAACAGGCTGATGATTACCAGAACTGCTCCTATTCCTGCTGATAAGCTCACCACAAAAGCTGTATGTTTCTTTCCTCTTCCATCTACACAATAAGGAAACTTTTGGCAGTAAAAGATACATTTAGGAACAAAAAATCTGCATAAATTAGCCCAACTAACTTACTGTTAACATTTTTAGGGAGCTCAGAAGAAGCCATCCTGATGTATATGTCTTGCCCAATTTCGGAGAGGTGTCGGATATCAATCAAATCTCCAAACCAGAGCAAACAACCACTCCCGTCGCTTATATTCAGCGTCGAATAAGCTGTGCAGGAGCAGTTCCTGAGGCAGACTCGCTCGCATTCTTGGAGTGTCATGGTCTGATTGAACCGGGATTTCTTAGTGTCTGGTAATTTGATACCCGAGAACTTGAGAAACCCATCCGAGGATGCGTTTTCATGGCAATCCAACGCTGCCCGCCTAACGCACCCTTTCGAGAAGTCTGGCCTTCTCCAGGCTTGGCTATCTTTTGGCAGAAACTTATCCAGACAGGCACAGGGTGGGGATTTCTCAATGTTGCAGTAGCCATTCGGGCTGCATAACCCATATTGATCACAGTTATCTTGAGGAAGACTATGGTAACTCTGCCACTGATTATCCACCCAATTTCGCTCCACAACACCGTCTTTAGTGATCATCAAATGAGACACAAAATGGGTGTTTGCTGGAGTGTAGCTAATGAAAACCTGAGTCTTGTCATTTATGAAATTCATTATGTAAAAGGGGGCTCTCAGAGCAGGCACCCCACTCCACCCCAACCCGTTCCACGGCCCTGATCTCGACACCTCAATCGTCCCATTTCGCCTCACGAAACACTGTATCCACCCAGTAGGATCACAGTGCAGACTGAAATCCCCTGGAGATGGATCACTGTCACTCTTCCATGATGACAGGTACACCTCATGCCCTGTCACAAAGTTCTTCCCCATTCCCTGACCTGTTAAAAGCATGTCAGTCGCATAAACAAAACTCTGCCACACGAAATCCCCCGAATCATCATCATCTTTAACCACAAGATTCCCAGAATCCAGCAGCCTTGCAACTGGATTTGCAACTGATCTGGTGGCCGTAGAGGACCATATTGTGGTGTTAGTGTCAACAATAAGATCCAGCACGCCTTTCTTGGACATTCTTAAAACTGGGGACATGGATGATGAGTTTTTGATAGGATTCTCGCGGTTTGCAACCCAGCAGACCGTCTGAGGATTAATGTTTCTGTACCAGATGCCGACATAAAGATTCTGGGAATTGGGAGGGCTGAAGAATCCCATCTCAAAGGCTCCATTTGCTGAAACGATGGTGTCTCCTTGTCTGAGAGTTTGGTTCCAGATAATGGCATCTCTCGCCACACAACACTGCAGAATGGAAAGAAAAGACAGAAACGCAAAGAACAGCGGAGCGGTTTCCATTGCCAGACAGCTTCAGAATTTGGTCGTACGTTGAGCTGCTGCTTCAACCTCCATGATAACAACACTACTCAAGTACGTCATACGCGGAGGAATTGAATTTTGGAGTTTTTAATGATTGGGGCAAGGTTTCTTGTTTCCATCCTCAATATTAAATGTGTTTTAATCCAAATCTGTAAGGGCAGGTGGCACAGTCATAGAGGAAAAACGACGTTTCATCTCCCCACTTTTATTAAAGATGAAAATTCTATCTTAGATTGTGACAGCAACCAACCATTATTATTACTTCTCAGAATTAATTCTGCATATCCTATTCATGCATGTTAATTGGAGGAGATGAAAAAAGCAGCCCCTCCTGGTTCGCCAGCAAATCTTGCCCACAAAGGCCAAATTTCTTAACACCCCAACCCCGCATGATAGTGAAAGATAAATCAGAATAATACTGTAGTTGTCGTGGTTGGATTCTATATCTTTAGTGCATAGAAGTTTTTGGTGTGATTTTTGAAGAGTTTTTGTAATAGGAAAAAGAATATGAGAGGAAAGAGAAAAAAGAAAAATAAATAAAACAAAGCTGATTTCTTTTTTAAAAAAATATTATTACAGTGTCACACTGTAACGCACGGGTCAGCTGGACGCAGTTGTGACAACCACTCGAGGCGGCGCAGTTGACTGGTTTTTGCCGTGGGTCCCACATTTTTGCGAAAAACTCCTTCTTTGTGAGGACCTTCTTCCCTCTCTCTCCTTCATATTTAGTTCTTTTACTCAAAAAAATCATGAAAGATTTACTAATCTAGATGCTCTTAAGTCTTACCTTCCTCACGAAATATGATAATCAAGTGAATTTTTCAACAATTACCTTGATCTCATTTGGTAATTAAGAATTATCGAACAATGAATAGCAAATTGTATCAGCACCTTTAGATTGTGTCAGTAACTTTAACAAGTAAATTGTATTACCGAATTGTAAAAATATTTGGTAAAAGTGGACGACATTTAAAATTGGGTTGAATCTTCGAGGATTATAATTTGATTTGATAATTGGGACAATTTTAGGTAAAAGTTTTGAATTTGAATTTGGCATTATTATAAGATTATCTAAACATTTGAACTTTCAAAAAATAACTTGTCATCCAGCCGCCTAATCATTGATTTGACTACTGAAGACAATACTATACTATGAATTATGAGATACCAAACATTAGTAAATTACGCCATAATTTGTTCAAAACACGGGGTAGTATTTTTCCATTTAAAAAATAATTATTTATTCATTCATATTTTAAAGAGAAAGGGATCAAATAAGCTTTGAATTATATGAAATTGTGGAATTCGACTATTGAAGTATTGAACTCTAACAGGGCGTTTGGTTGGAGGGGGGGAATTATGTGGGAAATGAATTGTAATTTCATGGGAGTTGAATTACTGGGAATAAAGTGGGAATTTAAATTTCAGTATTTGGTTGACAGGAATAAAATTACTGGGAATTTCAATTCCAATGTTTGGTATACATGGGAATTGAAAGGGAATAAGTAGTATAAATTTAAAAATGCCCATTATTGTTGTTAGACATTAATTTTAGGTTAAAAAAGGGAGGGGTAATTTTGACTCATCACTATCTTTTTTCCCAGGAATTAAAATCCCATGGGGGGACATAGGATTTTAGTTCCATGAAAGTGGGGGAATTGCAATTCTCTCCAACCAAACTACGGAATTTAATGGCCTTTGGAATTATGTGGGAATTAAGTGGGAAGGGAATTTAAAATCCCTCCAACCAAATGCCCTGTTAAGGAGGCGTTTGGTTGGATGTAATTTAGTTGTAATTGAATTGTAATTTAATGAAAACTTCAATTATAGTGTTTGATTGGAAGGAATTGCAATTCGAAAACTAACTTGAAAAAAGATGAGAAATAAGATAAAAATACAGGAAAATAAAGAATTTTGAAAATGTCTTCCGATTAAAAATTTAGGAAGACATTTTTTACTAAATTATTTCGTTTTTTTTTTCTCAAATATTTTCCTTTGACTCTATTTTCATTGAATACTCAAACACAAAAAATCTAAAAAATGACTTCTAGAAATCATTTTTAAGTTTTTAAATAAACTCTAATTTCATGATTAGTTTTAATATATGGTCTTAATTAATTGTTGAGAAAAACTTGCTATCTGACAAAAAAAATATGGGGAAAAGTTGATGACACACACAAATTGACTATCCCCCCAATTTTCACTAATTTTCTTACTATCCACTAATTAAACCCCAAATTTCTTCTCCCCCCATTTTTGACTCCCGCTCCCTTCACTTTCTACATACCTACCAAAAAAAAGAAAAAGAAAAAAAAAGAGGCATCTTCTCTCCGTCAATTCCACACCTGACGCTGTCAATTACTCACACCATTATCTGTATAGGTCAAAATACAGTTGTTATACCATCTACCAGGTCCATCTTGAAAGGTGGATCCGAATTCAAAATACACAATTTATTTTTTACAAAATTATAAAATATTTAATATATAAATTATGAACATTCAGTATGTAAATTTTGTATTTTAGACCCGGATCCACCTTGCAAGGTAGATCCGGGTTCACAGAATAATTTGTTGCCAAAGTAGCAAGTCTTAAAATAAATTCATATTTGCCCAATTGTCCAAATCAGTGTTGTAAAAATCGCGCCTAGGCGCTAGGCGGTCGGCCTCCTAGACGCTCTAGGCGCCCTAGGCGGTCCCCAGGCGCCTAGAGGGCGCTTAGCGATTTTTTCAACATTGATCCAAATTGCGACTTTGTTCAAGATTTCAGCAAAATATCGTGGTCCACTCTATCCAGATCCAATTCCTCAGTGGGCAAATTTGTATGGTTTGCTCCCACAAGTCTCTACTGTCAAACTTGAAATTTTATAATTATTAACTGTTCTCAAGTCAACTGTCTCATCGACTCAACTAAATTACTATTACATCTTTTACTCAATAATAAATGTCTTTAACTCACATCTCCAATTAGGCAATTAATAATTGTTTATGGAGTAAATAGATAGCGGTTAGGTTGTCGGATGTGTTTCTAGATTACTGACCACCCAAATATAAAATATCATCGCATGAAAAAATAGTTTAAAATATATATATATCTATCTGATTTTCCAACTTTGTATGAGTGTTTATGACCTCAGTCTAGAGGGGCATGGTCTAACTAGTCTAGTTAAACATTATCTTGCTTGCAGTCCAAAGCTAAAACTATTTAGTCCATTCTTATATATGTTTTGGGCATGCTCTTTAATTTGTTCTAAGCATACTAATTAATTAAATCTCTTGTAAGCAATAATCAATATATGTAATATTGCCATATGAGGTTATGTAAATCCAAGATATACATTATATATATATATATATATATATATATATATATATATATATATATATATATATATATATATATATATATATATATATAGGAAGAGGTAGAGCATCAACTCCAGCCAAGTTAGTATGCCTGTTGACATGATAATCACAATGTTCTAAGTTTAATACCTAGTGGTCGAGATGAAGTTTTCCCAGTACACACCCCTCAACGAGGATGAAGTGAAGTCATAGTGACTTCATTTATCGAACTTGTTGCACGTGTGACTGGAGACAGTTCATTGTTAATCTCCCTTTTGCCAGAGAAGAAACCGGGCTCTTTAGGTTGAGGCAAGGCAACATCGTTAACCAACATTTGAACTACTGAAGACATGGTTGGCCTATCATTTGGATTTTGTTGCACACATAATAGGCCGACGTGGATTGACCTTAGAACTTGGACTACATCACATGAATCAGCAATATGCTCATCTACCAGTGCAATTGATCTTCCTTCTATATTAAGCTTCCATGCCTGCAAGGGATATTTAAAATAGTACAGCAAAATGATGAACATATATACATCATTGAATGAATGAAAATGTCTAAAACAGGACTCTTACATGTCCGGGTAGGGTCTCATATTGATCTTCATCGCAAAAATCATTATTTCTCCTACCACTTACTATCTCTTGTACTAGAACACCATAACTGAACACATCTGATTTCACTGAGAACATCCCATGTGCTGCATATTCGGGAGATATATAACCACTGCATCATAAGTTAGTATTCAATGAGATTGTGAGAAGATACATTATATTGTAGACAACAACATCCATGCGTAGCAAATGAGTAAGTTGAGTTGAGATTATTACTGTGTCCTAGCGACTCGTTTTGTTTGATCTCCAGTCTCATTCTCTCTTACACTCCTAGCTAATCCAAAGTCTGATATCTTAGGGTTTAGGTCAATATCAAGCAAAATGTTGCTGGCTTTTAGGTCTCTATGAATAACTCTTAGCCTAGAATCTTGATGGAGATATAATAATCCTCGAGCAATTCCATTGATTATGTTGAAGCGTTTGTGCCAATCAAGTAATTTTTTTCTTGTTTCATCTGCCAAAGGCTCAGGTATTTCACTAACTTGAGGATTGATTAGTAAAGTGGGAATTGGAAATTCCATTGTGATCAAAGACATTATATTTATCTAAATAATGTGATGTATATATACATGAGAAGATGATGACCATACCAAATATGAAGAAGTCTAAACTTTTGTTCGGCATGTATTCATAGATCAACATCTTTTCTTCCCCGCTAATGTAACACCCTAAAAGCTTGACAAGATTCCGATGTTGTAATTTGGCGATACAAATGACTTCATTCTTGAATTCCTCAAGTCCTTGTGTGGAAGTCTTTGATAATCTCTTGACAGCTATTTCTTGTCCCTCATTCAAAACACCCTAAGAATTGAAATTTAAGAAAATAATGCAGACTATATATATATATATATATATATATATATATATATATTAGTAGCAAGAAAGATGCATGAAGTTATTTGACTTCTAACCTTGTAAACATCTCCAAATCCACCATGGCCAAGTTTGTTATTTTCTGAAAAGCTAATCGTAGCTCTTGTTATAGTAGATAAATCAAATAATGGTAGCTCTAATTCTTTCTTCATCGCTTGTTTGGCGATTCTCCTTTTGCAAAAATACCATAAAGACAATAAGCAGCCAACCAGAAGCACTAGAACCAGTAGTGACAAACAAAGTACAATGATTAGTACTTTCTTCTTCTTGGAGCTTGAATGAATTGAACCTGTTTCAGGCCCTGCAATATGAAGAAACTTGTTTGAGTAATTTCTAGAATGGTCACTTGATTATTGATATTTTTCAATTTATATCCTCGATTTTTAATTTGACCATAAAGGGGATGAGAAGTGATGGAAAAAGGTGGGGAGCAAGTTCCAACTTCCAAAGCACTACCTTGATGGTCTGAAGGGTAAAGAATCATCACCGATTTGGGGGGTTGATAACAATAGTGAAGAAAATGGTGGCATTGATCTTAATGAATTGAAGATGAATGTGAAGTTTTTGAAGAAAGAAATTAAAAATCGAGTGGAGCTTAAAAGAATACAAATAAACCGGTGGACTAAATCTGGACAAAATCAATAGTAAAGGAACTAATTATTGTTTTGGATGTACTCAGGGTTTTCATTGTCGGACACAATGATTAATCCCCTCACTGAATTGTAAGCATTTCTAATTGATGGGACATTTGACTTGGAATTTAAGGTTGATCTACACCCAAAACCAAGTATGGAACCAATCGTTATGTTGTGGAACCGTGTCCACCTTGCAAGGTGGATACGGTTTTATGTTCATAATTACTGAACTATATGTCTATAATTACAAAGCTATATATTCATAATTTTTTAACTTCATATTCATAATTATTGAACTCAAAACTATATGTTCATAATTATAAAACTACATATTCATAATTGTTGAACTTCATATTCACAATCATTGAATCTCTATATTCATAATTATGTTCACAACTCTATGTTCATAATCATAGAACTATATGTTCATAATTTTTGAACTATATATTCATAATTATGAACAGTTTAACAGCATAATTTGCCGTATCAAACCCTCAAATTTAGTTAAGAATGGATGAGTGTCTCCCACTCAAAATAATTAACCATGGTGTTGAAGTAAGTGAAAATCAAATGATTACTACCTGCAGGTACTTCCGAAGAAGCAAGTCTGATGTATATGTCTTGTCCATTTTCAGACAGCCATCTAATGTCAACCAAGTCCCCTAACCATAGCAGGCAGCCAGTTCCTCCCTCACTTATATTCAAAGAGGAATAAGCCATACAAGAGCAATTCCTCAAGCAAATTTCTTCACACTCTTGAAGGGTCATAGTCTCATTATACCAAGACTGCTTTGTATCTGGCAATTTGACACCAGAGTACTTGAGGAATCCATCAGTTGTGGATCCATTGTGGCAGTTCAGTGGGTTTCTCCTATGGCAGGCTTGAACTGGATTTTCTGCAGTTCTATTATTAGGCAAAAATTTATCCAAACATCCACAAGGAGGATACTTACCAACATTGCAGACACCATTTGCACCACACAAACCATATGTGTCACAATCATCTGACGGCACACTTGACAAATTCACCCATTCCTTCCTCTGATCTTCCCATATCCAGGCTTCTAGGACACCATTGCTTGTAAGAAAAAACCTGAATACACCCAAATCCTTATTAAGATTATACCAAATATAAACCTCCTTTTTGTTTATAACAAGTCCATTTGGGTCATGGGTGTTGTTCTGATCTACAGCTCTTGTTCCACTAAAGCGCAACCCGTTCCAGGGTCCTAATCCATAAATCTCAGTTGAGCCGTTCTTGATGACAGCTTGTGGGTATCCAGTAGGGTCCAAGTGAAATGTATATTCACCAGAAGCTGGAGATTCGTCGTGTTTCCTTGCAGTAACATAAACCTCATGGCCGGAGACAAGATTCCGGCCAAGTTTCATTCCGGGTAAGTAATGATCAGTCGGAAAATCGAAACTTTGCCAGAGAAAATTCTCCGGGTTTTCATCATCTGCATCTCTCACCACCAGGTTCCCAGTATCCAGCAACTCTGCAACCGGATTTTGCACCGATCTTGATATGTTTGCAGACCAAACGGCCTGACTGTTGTCTCCAACAAGGGAAAGTTGGCCTCCCAGAGTGATCTTCAAGACTGCTGAAGAAGTGTTCTTGATTGGAGCGTCTCTGTTTGCAACCCAAACCACTGTCTGACCAGGAATTTGTTTGTACCAGATTCCTACGTAACGGTTTGAGGAATTGGTCGGGCTAAAAAATCCCATCTCGAAGGTTCCCCCGTTTGAGACGATGGTCTCACCATCTTTAAGGAATTGAGTTTTGGTAAATATGTTCCCTGCAAGGGACGTCTTCGGCAAGGGAAGTGAGTATAACAGAAGAAAAGGTATGAAAAGAGCTTTCATGGCTGCTGACTTACTAATAGATGAAGATGAACTTGCATCAGGCAACCGTTCATTTATTAATTATTGATAATTTTGAGGTTGACAAATCGAGTTTGATTTGAATAATGATGCGAACCTAGTAGATCCTTCATACTTTAATTTTCATGTTTTAATACTTTTTTGGCCACACCGAATTATAAGGTGAGATTTCATACTTAATAAGTCAGGAACACTATGACTTGATTAAACAATAATCTTAAAATCTTAAATAACCATTAATAAACAAATTACTACAAATAATAATATAATAAAATAATTTTAAGATAATTATTTTAATTAATTGTTGATTCTTGTGGTTGCAACATAATATAGTTGTGAAATATATATTGGACACGGTTGCTTGTAGGGACGTACAATGTTAGGCAGACTAGTCAACGTACTTTGGCGATTTTATTAAAATTCTGACTACACACAAAGTTATGCTGCATTAATCAACGAGGATTTAGTGATGACATTGAGACTTCATTTAGGGAAGTTGTTGCATGTTTGCCTGAAGAACTTTCTGATGATGAGCTAACAGCTGCCCTCCTGCCAACAAAGAAGCCAGGCTCTTTAGGTTGAGGCAACACAACATCATTAACCAGCATTTGAACAACGCAAGACATGTTTGATCTATCTTCCGGAGATTGTTGCACGCATAAAAGGCCGACATGAATTGACCTTAAGATTTGAGCTACATCATATGAATTAGATATATGCGCATCAACCAGTGTGATTGATTCTCCTTCTCTATAAAGCTTCCATACCTGTATAATAGATATTTAACATTGTAGAGAGAAATTATTAATATTTTGCTGACATGAATGAATAAATTAATGGAATCATCTAAATCAATATCTTACATGCCCAGGAAGAGTCTCGTATCGATCTTCATTTGAAAATTCACTATTTCTTTTGCCGCTAACTATCTCTAGTAAACACATCTAATTTAATTGAGAAGATCTCATGTGTTGCATATTCCGAAGATATATACCCACTACATTGTATGGCCAACACTCAATGAGTAGATGCATTGAAAATGAAGAACAATCATATGCAGAAGATGGCTTGCAAAAGTGTTTAAGAGTAAATTGAGATTCTTACTGGGTTCCAGCAACACATTTTGTGTTATCTCCAGTTGCATTTCCTACTAAACTTCTAGCCAAACCAAAGTCAGATATTTTTGGTTCTAAGTCAATATCAAGCCAAATATTACCACTTTTGAGGTCTCTATGAATAATTCTTAGTCGAGAATCATGATGGAGATATAATAATCCTCGAGCAATTCCATTGATTATGTTGAAGTGTTTTCGCCAGTCAAGTAACTTTTTTCTTGTTTGATCTACAAAAGGTTTAAATTAGTTTTGTTTCAATAATTTCCTATGATTTGGGTGTAGATGACAAGGTAACCATACCAAATATGAAGAAGTCCAAACTTTTGTTAGACATGTATTCATAGATCAACATCTTTTCTCCCCACTAATGTAGCACCCCAAAAGCTTGACAATATTATACAAATGACTTCATTCTTAAATTTCTCATTAATCCTTAATTGTGTGCAAGTTTTTGATAGCCTCTTCACAACTATTTCTTCTCCCCCATCCAATGTACCCTAGACAATTAAAATAAATAAATAAAATAAGATTATGTATATCCCCATCCAAGAAAGCTGCATATATTTTTACCCTCCTTAGTCTAATTTGTTTATCTCTTGAGAAATTATTTGTAGCTCTTAACAAGGTTGGACCTACAGTGAGGTCATTATTTCACATTTTCACTATTATTAACAGTGCATATTGCTTCAACACAATTTCATATATATATATATATATATATATATATATATATATATATATATATATATATATATATATATATATATATATATAATTTTCATTTATATTAATGATGAGATGTGTAATTTATAATGAATTTTTTATTCAAATTATTTTATCAAATTGATTATGTTCATATTTTGTTATGAATACTTTTATAATGTTTTGATGTGTTTTATAATTTGTCTATATCTAATAATATTTACGACTATACTTTTGAAGTGTTTCATTTTTTTTTTTAATTATCATTTATGCTTTAATGTTTTGTCCCCCGCTGAAAAAAATTTTCTGAATCTGCCAGTGGACCATAGTACATGGACCATAGTATAACAATTGCATGAAAAAGAAAATGGCTTTTCAAGTGAGTTTAATAAGCATTAAAACTGATGACTTTGGCGGACTAGTCAACTTTGGCGGATTGATTAGGATGACAACAAAGACTGGTTAGATTGCAGGTAAATGCAACAATCATTATTTCATATTGAAATAATATGGTCCACACAACTGTGGACCATAAATAAAGTGTATATTTTAATTTATTTAAAATATATTATTTAAAAGTATATTATTTGAGTATTAAAAATACATTATTTTGTAAACTATTAAATAATATATTTTTAATATATTAAAAATGTATTTGTATTTATGATTTATAGAAAAATTTGCTTAACATATATGTACATATTAAATAAATTGAAGATACATATGTTAACTACATGCAATAATATGTTAACTACAGATTTCATCAGCACATTCAACCGAGTTGATTTTAACTTATGCAATAGCAAACTTCAAACTTTTGCTTTCCCAATAAAATAAATTCCTACCAAACTTTAAATACGGAGTAATACTTATAACACATTAACATCACAACACTAAATATTATTTAAGTTCTCATGGAAGTACATCTTAAACATTAATCTTCATTACTTAGTTTCTAATTAACATAAAATTATATAAGTTTGATATCAATTATGCACATAAAAATTATAAGAATTAGCACGCTTATCATAATAATGTTCACATTTCTTATTGATGTCTACATTTCAAATCTGTAAGCATTAATGTATCTAATCTAGGATATCCTTTACTATCTAAGTTTCTCCAATACTGAAATTAAGTAAATCTAATTATACATTCAACAACGAGGATTCAATGTCGTAATTGTAACTTCATTTTGGGAACATTTTACATGTGTGCTTGAAGAATATTCCTTGCCAAAAAAGAAACCGGGCTCTTTAGCTTGAGGCAATGCAAAATCATTAACCAACATCTGAACTACAGTGGACATGTCTGGTCTATCCTCTGGAGATTGTTGCACACATAGAAGAGCGACATGGATTGATCTTAGAACTTGAACTACATCATATGAACCAGCTATATGTTCATCAACCATCGCAATTGATTTTCCTTCTCTATAAAGCTTCCATGCCTATACAATATTTAAAATCATACACGAAAAACGGAATATTCTAGACAATAAAGAATGAATTAATAGAAACATATAAATTGGAACACTTACATGTTCGGGAAGAGCCACATATTGATCTTCATTGATAAACTCACTATTTTTCCTACCACTGACTATCTCAAGTACTGAAATGCCAAAGCTAAACACATCCGATTTAACCGAAAAGATTCCATGCCCGGCATATTCAGGAGACATATACCCACTACATAGTATTGGCAATACAAAATGAGAAGATGACATGAAACAAACATATGCACTAGATGCATGTGTAGTAGAACATCTTAAGATAAAATTCAAATTCTTACCGTGTTCCAGCAACTCGTTTTGTGTTATCTCCTGTGGCATTTCCTAGTATACTCCTAGCCAAGCCAAAGTCTGATATCTTTGGGTTCAAATCAGCATCAAGCAAAATATTACTAGCTTTGAGATCTCTATGGATTATTCTTAGTCGAGAGTCCTGATGGAGATATAATAACCCTCGCGCAACTCCATTAATTATGTTGAAGCGTTTTGGCCAATCAAGCAACCTTTTCTTTGTTGGATCTGCCAAAGGTTTAAGTTAGTTTTGTTTCAATAATTTCCTATGATTTGGATATAGATGACAATGTAAACATACCAAATATGAAGAAGTCCAAACTTTTGTTTGGCATGTATTCATATATCAACATATTTTCTTCCCCGCTAATGCAACACCCCAAAAGCTTCACAAGATTTCGATGCTGTAATTTGGCAATGCAAATGACTTCATTCATGAATTCCTCAAGACCTTGCGCGGAATTCTTTGATAGTCTCTTCACAGCTATTTCTTCTCCCCCATCCAATGCACCCTGGGCAATTAAAATAAATAAAATAAGATTATGTACATATATGCTCATCTAAGAAATTAAAGCTACATATAATTTTACCTTGTATACAACTCCAAATCCACCTTGACCTAACTTGTTCATCTCTGAAAAGTTATTTGTAGCTTTTGATATTGTTGACCAATCGAAAACTGGTAGCTCTAATTCTTGCTTCAACTTTTGCTCTTTCCTTTTTGATTTGCAAAAACACAAGTAAAGAGACACCCCAGCAAGAACTATTACAACCAGCATTGACAAACAAAGCACAAGGATTTTTATTTTTCTCCCCAATAATGAGCTTGAATGATGTGGTTCTGGTGTTAACCCTGTAATTCCAAAACAACTTTCTTATTTACACTTTATTATGAGGCTTTTAAAGTGAGTATAAACACATTTATTATACCTGGTAATGGTATTTCTGTAGCAGCCAGTCTGATGTATATGTCTTGCCCATTCGGTATTGTTCTAATATCAACTAAATCATCATACCAAATCAAACACCCACTTCCTCCATTGCTTATATTGAGAGTTGAATAAGCCATACAAGAGCAATTCCTCAAGCAAACTCGTTCACACTCTTGAAGGCTCATAGATTCATTAAACCAAGAGTGCTTTGTATCTGGCAATTTGATATCAGAATATTTGAGGAATCCATCTGATGAGGATCCATTATTGTGACAATTCAGGGGTTTTCTCCTATGACATCCTAGTGACAGACTCTCTGTAGCATTATTATTAGGCAAAAATTTGGGCAGACATCCACAACTATGATAATATTCATGCGGTATGTTGCAGACACCATTTCCACCACATAAACCATATGTGCCACAAATATCTGCGGGTTCGCTAAAAAAACTCACCCATTGTTTGAGC